ATATATATATATATATATATATATATTTATATTCTACGTTAAAAGTTATGAATTCAAATGAACTACGTAAAAAAAATAAGTCCGTCACTGAGTCCAAGGTCTATTTAAGCACGAAAAAATTAAACCTATAACAATTCTATAAAATACTAAATCAACAATGGGGAACTTCCATGCAATTTATTTTTGTCAATTTATTGACTACGAGCAATAATATTTTCTAACTGGTGTGTCTTACACGTCAGGCAGTTTACTTGTGTTTATTTTTGGTCCTTCTAATCCAAAAAAATATTCCTAATATATTTTTATTAATTTGATTGACTCGATTGATAATCAAATACATTTAACTTTTAAGTTGTTAAATAAACCACGGGAACGGAGTTTTCGTGGTCTATTTGATAAGATGATATGACTTCATCGTTTATTTAATTATTTAACAAATTCCATTTGTTATTTGCTACCCTTTTCTTTGTTCTCCTTCCAAATCAATGTCTTTTTTCCCTTTTTCGGTTATTAGGCTTTAGTTTGGGAACTGAAAATGATCAAACTTAATTAGAGTTTGTTTGGATTGATTTATAAGTTGAGAGTGTTTGACAAAGTTAAAAATAACTTGAAATAAGTTTAAATGACCTTAAAAAAGTTAAAACTTAATTATTTTTTAACTTGAAAGTTTAAAAAGTTTGATATTTTAAAACTACATTTTTAAAGCTAAGCCAAACGGGCTCTTGTTCTAGTTGGTTGTTACCTATGGCATACATCGTATTATTAGTCTAAATACTAGTGTTGGTTTAATTGTTTGCTTAAATATTGTTGTATGGAATTGTTAAAATTCATTGTTATATAATAATATAAAACCATTTTAAATTTGACGTGTTTTCTTTATATTCCCACTAAACTATTAGTAGTTTTAATTACATCTGAACTTGCTTATTTGAAAGTCTATACACACATATCGCCACACCATCTCATCCTAAGAGAGTGAGATAGTAAGCCACTACTCATCTTTTACATATTATTTAGTAATTCTACCTTATCAGTTATCCTATTTTTTTTAAAATAATATTTTGCCGCGTAGGCCGTATACTATATTTTTCCTTTGTAATATTGTAACTTGTAAGTTTATAATTTATGCAGTTTTTGTGTGACATTATATATACAACGATAGAAAACCAGACAATCTACATATTCAAGTTATATTTATCAAGACGATACAAGCTAACACATTACATAATTACCATCCAAACAAGCCGTAAGTGATTAAGAATACGTCTTACCATCCAAAATTCGTTTTCAGATGACAAGGAAGGTGTATCATTGACTTATATCTCCAATAATATTTGTGTATAACTAATAATTCACCACCTTACATCACGGATGAATTTACTTTCTAGTTGGATACACTAAAGAATCCATATTTATAATTAATGCCGCTAAATATAATATATCAATAATTATATTATTACCGTTAAATAATTACCATTAACTCATTTATTTGTTATAGTGATGAGCCATGAATGTTAGACTAAAAGTGATGATCATGAGATGAATACGTAAACGAAAGACACATATTGACTTAATTACTTCTCCACAGACTCCGAAAGTCCTATTCAAAGGGTTGTTGGCATTCTCACGGCTATTGTGGGAGTTTCCGAGCTGTTTGCTTACTACTCCCTCCGTCCACAATTGTTTGTCAGGGTAAGGTCATGCACACCCCTCAAAGAAAATTTAATACAAGGTGTAATTTGACTAATATAACCTTACTATACCAAGAATATCAAAAGTCCACATAACTTTTCAATTGAACTACACTATCATTAAGGGTAGAATTGGAAAAAATTGACTAATTATTTCTTGATTGTTTAAATTGACAATTAATCTTGGACATCTATTTTTAATATACCTGCCAAACAATTGTGGACGGAGGGAGTACTTTCTTGGAAGAAGAGAAGCTGACTCTTGAAATTTGAAACTCCATAATCATAACTATTTTTAATTATCGAACCGAAAAGTGACCAATGGGAGTTGTTTCAAGTATAGAACCTATGACGATTTGCAAAAATGTCCCTTTTTAGGTTACCATTTAGATTTTGTCCTTATTTTAAAAGTTACGTGAAATGTGAATATAGCTCTTGAATTAATAAAATATTTAAAAATTTCATAAATGACAAACAAATTTAACTAAATAATGCTCCATAGATATATTTTATCTGATTACGCTTCATAGCTATAGTTTACGTTGTTATGAAAACTTGTACTAGTATATCTCGATTTATTTATTAAAAATTTATATAAAATTATCCACTTTTAATTAATGAATACATGAGCGCTAAATATGGTAACAAAAATAATAATAAATCTCACTATTCATGCTAACATATTATTATTTTTTTGCCTAAAATGACTTCTACTACAATAATAACACCATAATAATTGAATTCGTCATATTGGAAAAGCTCCATTAAAAGGAGAAAAATTATACATTTTATTTCGTATATGTGTTTATCTGACAATGAATTTATCATAGACCATAGATATTTCATATGAATAATTGAATTTATATGTGTCGGATAATATTTGTATATGTATATAGATGCTTGAATTTGTATATAATATAAATTGTATATGTATATGAAAATATGATTTACATATACAAATATATATATAAACTCTTCAATATAAACTATAAATAGGTATATACAATGAATATGTGATTTACTTGTTCAAATATATAAATACACTTCAACATAGTTATGTATATACAATAATCAATCACAATTATGTATATTTGTACATGATAACAATGAAATATAAGTGAAGGTGAAGGTGAAAGGGTTTATCTATTTTTGCTCCAAAATTGTTAAAGATATGAAGTTGGAAAAGGATGTTAAAAGGGAGAGGGTGATGGATTTTATCAGTTTTATTCAAATCTAATTTTATTTTTTTTTATTTAAAAAGAACACTTTTCATGAGGAGTTAATAGTTGACAGAAAGGAATTATATGTCGTTTGTGATCACGGGTGTAACTGATCTGGCTTAGACCAAAAAGGTATGATCTTGATCTTTCAATTTGTATTTTATAACATATATCTATGCATGTGATGTATGGTGTTTGTACAAATTCTTGTTTATGTATGATTTACATGATTTTGTTCGTACATTTTTCAAAAGGAAAAGATTTACATGATTTGTTTCTTGTATTAGTCCTCCAAAAGTTAATTGAGTGTTTTTACTACATGGGATTGGTTAAATCAATTTAGTAGTTTTTTTTGTTAAAATTGTCATATTATGCATATTATTGGTATGAAAGCTGACTTAATATACGATTTATGAATATGGTATGAATTTTGTCTAATGTTGGCATGAATTGGTATAAAATTTGGTATAAAAATGGTATGATGTATTACTTATATTTGGTGTGAAACTTGTTTAAATCTGGTATGAAGTTGGTACACAGTTTAGAGGAAATCTAATTTTTTTCAAATTATTCTCATTATGTCTACTAATATGGCATGAAACATGAATAATATTGGTATGAAAGCTGACTTAATATACGATTTATGAATATGGTATGAAATGTGTTTTAACATTGGTATGAAATTGATTTATTGTTGGTATGAAAGCTGACTTAAGTTGTGTATTATTTTTATCAAAAAATGGTATGATATCAGT